CACAAAGCGAGCATCTTCCGAAAAAACGACCGGATTTCATGCTAATAACAGGTAATCATGCACCTGGATGTCTGTGCGGCTCTATAATGCACCCTTCATCCCAACTGATGCCCTTCCTTCTGCATGCTGGAAAGGGCCAAAGCACGACCATTATGAGCTCAAGTTAAGCTACAGCTTAGGTGTCATTCCTGCTAATACCGATCTGCGAGGTTAGTGCAAAAACGCATGGTCGCAGCGGAAAGCCTGCTGCTTTCCAACCTAAGTTTTTTTTTGAAAATGATCCAACTGTTCAATAAGTAATTTTCCCGCCAAAAATTTAAGTATCCACACACGAGACTGAATTTGAAAACTTTAAGTTGCATTTGGGGTGAAATATTCTTCTAAAATCACAGCTTTCCAGCCTTCCTGGTTCCCGAGTTAGCAATTTTTTGGCCATAACTTTCACAATGCCACACATGTCTTGGAACCATACCTGAGGGCTGGGTTTGAAATTTTAGGCTGTATGAAGGCTTGGAAGCTCCCTTGAAAATGTCAGCCTCCCACCTTTACTACTTCCCGGGTTAGCCATTTTCCCGCTGAGAAAATTATTTTTCACGAGGCTGTACGTGAAAACCAGGTGCGACTGGGGGCTGAATTTGACAGTTTTATGTTGTAATTATACTGGGAATATTCCTTGAAAAATTCAATCTCCTAGCTTTCCTGGTTCCCAAGCTAGTGATTCTCGCGCCAGAAACTCTCATGGGGCTGTACGTGAGAACCACGCGCACTTGAGGGCTGAATTTGAAATGTTTGAGTCGCACAACTTCAGCTTTCTATCTTTTCTCGTTCTAGAGTTGTCAGTTTTTCGGCCAAAGCTTACATCCTCACGTGTGCGGGGTCCAGACTTACGTGAGGGTTGGTGCCGCGGTTCTGGGGTGGCACTTGGCCGGGGAATCTACTAGCAAAATCTTAGTGCTGGAACATGCTTGGTTGAAAGACCCAGAGAGACGAACACACACACACACACACACACATGCATTCACACATAAAAACATGCACACACATACACACACAGACAGGTTATTGCAATATGCGTTTTTGCAATTTGCGTATAGGCAAAAGAGCACAAAAACATTGAGTTAACAAATACACTGCTGGAATAGCTTTGGAAATGTCGTTATGAAGCAAGGGAGAGGGCGAAAAAAGAAGATAGGAACTATAAACAAGGCACTATGAATGAGTATTGTTTTTTATTTGGGGCTTCTTGTCTAAAATTTGCAATAGCGCCAAGTTTAATGACAACTGCGTCCGAACGTTAAATTTTTAATGAATTTTAGCACATTTCAGCAGCTCTTAGCTCCTATCAACCAAAAATCTATTTCTCTGTGATAAAACACCAGACTTTGTTAGTTGTATGCATTTGTCTCTATCGTCAAACGCCTTTCAGGCTAAAATGGCGATTTGCATAAATACTTAAGTGTCTTTTCCCTTTTCCAATGCAAATTTTGAGGCATCGCATAAGCGAAAATGTTAATTTTTGATACTCCTGGTTGGTGAGAATTCAATTTAGGGCTTCTAGCTATGTTAAATTTCGCGTCTAATGCAAAATGAAGGAGCAGAAATTCGAAGGATCAAGAAATATTTGCCTTTTGTAGAAACGCGAGGCAGAATAGTGTCGAAGCCGCCGCGGCGTTGCAAAGGCAAGTGATGTCCTGCTGATCCTCCCCATACTTTCGATGCGGACTGTGACGATGGTTTTTCCTGAATAAACGCGTTAGAGTAAGAGAAAATAAAAGAGTTCCAACTTTTTCAAGCGTAGTTTCGCTTAACTTGTATCTGTCTCCTACAGGAGTTGCGGAAATAGAAAAGTTGGCATGTTATATGAATTTGTGAAGTATGGTACCTGTGAGGCTGAAGACCGAGCCACCGTATTCGGCAGCAATTGAGATCTTTGAGTGGCGGGAGTTCCTCGCGAATCT